GCTATGCAACTCTGACATTCACCTATCACTGGGAAACACACGGATGACTGGCTATAGAGATAAACTCAGGGTCAAATTCTTTCCAACGGGGGCTATAATGTAAATAAGTCACAGTTTATGCAATAACTCTTCATTACTGTGGCCAGGCCTGGTATCCTGTCAGACTCGTTGAAAAGTCCTGCTGATAATGTACCAAAACGTGCCAGTCTGAACTCCTCCTGGTCATTACGGTACCAAAGGAGTGCTCAGGCACATCTGCAGACCGTGAAGCAACCACCCTTTGCAAACTGGTTCGTTGGTGTCTTCTTCCTGGGATAAACTGGGAGAGGCCAGTGAAAAGGACGGTGAATTCAAACTTAACGGGCAGCTCCACTGCTGACCTGTTTGTGGTCCATTCCTTTGGCTCAACTCTCAGACCAAGTATTTTCAGGACAAAATAGGAGCCCCAGAACGAGAGCGATGTCCATCCAAGCCATGAATAGCAGTGATTACAGCTGAGACGGTGGAGGCTGCCAGGTTTTACCAGGGATGTGCTGAAAACCAGCAGCAGGAAACTAAGCTGCTGGTAGTAACATCTTCCACAGCCTCTCTCTTGCCAAGTGATTTTGGAGTTGCTCTACCTCTTTGCACACAGTCTATTGTCAAGAAATGGCACCTCTACTTCTCTGGTGGTACTTCAATTTCATTCATATATTCCAACCCCCCTTCCCCACAAACACATTGTTGTTTTAAACAGCAAATATATCCCTACAAGCTCTTAAAAAAATATTCCTTTCCTTCTTCATCCTGTAGTCTGCAATGCTGGACAGACACGCAGGTTTAACCTGCTGGGCAACTATGGGAGCTTTTCTGTGGTAGGTCAATATCCATAAATGGGTCAGGATAGGACTTTTTGTGTTGTCTTTACATGTAGGCTGGAACACTGAGAGTCTAAAGCTGGGGCAATAGAAACAACAACTATGGTGAAAATCCGAAGCTAAAATGCACTCACTAAGATTCATTCACTCTTATCTCTGTGAATAGCTCTACTTTGAAGAGTTGCTTAAAAACATGAAGCAGAAACTGGACACATAAAAACTGCTGTTTGATTCCTGTTGACAACCCTTGATGGCACAGAGTCCACAGTGAACAGAGTGCCCTTGTAATCTCTCGACCTTCCCGTGCCCTTAGGTTATTTGCAGGTTGGGATCAAAGCTCTGCTACCCTGTCCTTGGGAAAAAAGAGCCATCAAAGGGGTTTCCAGGACACCTACGTGTGTTTGCACCTAGCTCAGTTTTTAAACAGTTCATGATAAGGCAATTGTAGAGTTGGCAAGGGGGTTTTCAAGCACAGTTTATGAGGGTTTTGTGATCAGATTGTCAAATTGAATCAGTAGATACAATTATTTTCTACTTTGATTTTCTGTTTCAAGCAATTTTCAAATAAGAAGCATCTCTGACATTTTAAATGCAAAATTCTAGTTTTCATTTTGAAAAACAACCTCCTAGAAAATGGCTATTTATGGTAATTACAAGAAATCAAGACACTGAGCAGTTCTAACTAAGCTACAATTGTAAAGAGCTCTATTTTCACTCCTGCTAGGAGAAACGTGAAAAAAATTATCACTTCTTTTAGGCTCTGCCTTCATACTGGGCTATGTTTCTTTTAAAGTCTTGCCAATTCCCCAGAGACAATAAGAATGCTACTTTCAGGTAATCCAAATATAGAAAGACAAAGGATGGCAACAGCAGTAGTAGAAATAGACGCAAGCTCTAAGTATTGTAGAAGCGAACTCCTGTGTGTGCATTAGTTTCAGTTTTATGGGATTACAGGCAAGGATGCAGGATTATATGAGATTATAGAACACTTGGAATGAAAGGTGGGAGGTGTTTTGACCCTGGCTGAACACTGGGTACCCACCAAAGCTGCTCTGCCACTGCCCTCCTCAACTCAGCAAGGGAAAGAAAATAGGTTGATAGGCTCATGGATCAAGGTAAGGACAGGGAGTGATCATTCAGCAATTACCATCATGAGCAAAACAGATGTGACTTGGGGAAATTAGTTTAATTTATTACAAATCAAATCAGACTGGATAATGGGAAATAAAAACTTAATCCTAAAACACCTTTCCCTTCTTCATGGGTTTAACTTCTCTCATGATTTTCTCTACATCCTCCCCTCCAGTGGCATAGGGGGATGGGGAATGGGGGTTGCTGTCAGTGCATCACACATAGTCTCTGCTGCTCCTTCCTCCTCATAGGAAGGACTCCTCACACTCTTCCCCTGCTCCAGCGTGGGGCCCTTCCACAGGGTCAGCCCTTCAGGAACAGGCTGCTCCAGTGTGGGTCCCTTCCATGGAGCGCATCCTTCAGGAATAGACTGCTCCAATGTGGGTCCCTTTCTCTGCGCACTCCCACTGTTGTTGACTGGCTTGGCCACGGTATGCTGGTTTCAGCTGGGACAGAGTTAATTTTCTTCCTAGTGTCTGGCACAGTGCTGTGCTTTGAATTTAGGAGCTTAATGTCGGTAACACACTGATGTTTCAGTTGTTGCTGAGCAGTGCTCACACTAAGTCAAGGACTTTTCAGCTTCTCATGCCCTGCTGGCAAGGAGGACAGAAGGGCACAAGAAGCTGGGAGGGGACACAGCCAGTACAGTGATCCACACTGGACAAATGGATATCCCACACTATATGCTGCTATGCTGAACAGTGAAACTGAGGGAGTTGGCTGGGCAGTGGTGGCCCACTGCTTGGGGACTGATGGGCACTGGTCAGCAAGTGGTAAGCAAATGCATTGAGTATCACTGGTTCTGTATATCCCTTTATCATTATTAGCTTTCCTTCCTTTTCTGTCATATTAAACTGTCTTTAACTCAACCCACAAGTTTTACCTTTATTCTAATTCTCTCCCCTGTGTCCTTTCCCTGGGGGGAAAGTGAGTGAAAGGCTGTGTGGTGTTTGGCTGCCTGCAGGGTTAAACCACACTTGGCTAGTGCTGAGTCCATCTTGGAGTTAACTGGCACTGGGCCTATCATACATAGGGGAAGCTTCTATCAGCTTCTCACAGAGGCCTTCCACCTGCTACCAGAACGTTGCCACGCAAACCTAACAGGACGGAACTCAATCACATTGACAGCAGGCACTTTTCTAGACTGTCTGTGAGTATGCAGCTCAAAAACATTCACTGATTTCTTGGTTAAAACTGCAGGGAAACATATGACTATAAATACAGTAGTTCACATGGAACAGACTTCAAAGAATATGTTGTAAGGAGCTGTGATTTCTGATATTAAGAGAGTGATTAGCGCACTGCAGGGACCCTCGTGGCATTATAATCCTAAATGCAGAGAAAGATTAGATGATAATGACAATATTGATGGCAATGTCAATAATCTCTAAAATCTTGGGAACATATTTCTGTCCCCATGTGAGCATCTCCGACTCTCTTTGCTGGGATTCCTGCCCTGAAGCAATACCAAGCAGCTGTTGGCAATGTGAGGTTGTTAACTGGAGTTCACACTGATGGGCTCCTCATTAAACCAACAGCGTTTCTCTTACAATCGATGACACCGACTGATACGGCTCTGCATTAAACATTTATTCATCAGACAGATTGAATCCACTCTGGAGAAGGTTTAATGACACCACAGGGATTTTCTCCTTCATTTACCTGGGATTTATGTTTAGTCTTTCTGGTGCTACAAAGGTGTCAAACTGCCCACAATTAAATTCAGAGGTATTTTAGCATCTGTGCATAGTCTGGACCCGGCAGCTGGGGCAAGCTATGGCAAGGAAAAATAATACTTAGTGTTTTCCATTTATTGTTCACACTTGTGAGAGTTTGGCAGCCACAGTAAGTTTATAATATCAATAACACATTAATAATATATCACAGATACAAGTAACACATTTGATAATTAATATACTGTGCTACAAGCCAGAATTACAATGCCACAAGGCACCTACTTTGATTGATCACTTATACATCACTAATAGGAGTACTTGACCTATTTGGATCCAAACGCACTGCGTGCTCTTGCTCCCAGCCCAGGTGTCACCCTGCCTCCGTGAATATGGTGATGTTCCCATTCCAGCTTTTGTCCTGCATCTACAAAGATGTTGGCAGTCGAGAAAGAAATGAATGATTCAGATTGCCTTTTATCCAGAAGACTATCAGATCTTTAATACCCAGAGGACAGAAGCAGCTGCCCAGAGCAGGCAATACGAGCATGGCCCTTTGGAACCCTATCAGTGGGAGTTTTGCTTTACACTATGTGGTACCCTGGGTACAGAAAAAAAACACAGCGTTTCAGTGAGGAAGATGTCTTTTTGCCTGGTCTTTCAAAATGGTTTTGGAGAAACAGATTAGCACACATCAGAGGGCACAGAAAAGTCTTCCCATAATCCTGAATATGAAAATATGTCAAGAGCCGCGTGCAAAATGGATTTGCATACATCAGAGCTGCACATACAGCTGCTGGACTGGGCATCCTGAAGTACATTAAAAATGTTAATACTGAGTTATGTGGATGCTGATAATTGAAAGCTGGAGAAACACATGCAGACATGCCCAAAACTATGGTACGTTTTCCACTTGTCTTACTTAGATTGTTCAAACATGAAAAGAGAGACTGCTAAGGTAGCCAGCAATCCTTGAATATTTAAAGGCTTTCTGGTTCAAAGAGAAATTCATACTATCACTCATCCATACAGGAATAAATACCAGAGGAATGGTGTAATTTATTTAGTGCTAAAATTTTCAATTCTAAAAAGTCATCAATACTATCAACCACCGATTTTGTAAAATCAGGAGTTTCAACAAAAGCAAGCGGTGATCAATTCGATATTACTTTGGTCTTGCACTCTGCAGTGCTGCCAACCACATCCTACCTAGGATACCAGGCCACTGCAGCCCAGATGCTGGAAACACTGGTCTGGATTTACTTTTCTACATATGACGAAGAGTGGAACAGCGAAGATCACTGTTCTTAGGCTCTGATTATCAAACCAGGACGGGAAAGCCTGTGCTGCTTACTTTTCACAACAATAATTCCCAATGTTGGCCCAGTTGGTGGTACATTAGAAACTAAGAACTTTTAATCCTGCATCAATGACAGATTAACACCAGTCCTACATGGGCTGTTTGGTGCTGGTCACAAACCACATCTTCAGCCTCGGGGTCACTATCCTTAAGTGACCATAACAGCATCGTGGCAGCACAAACCCCACAGAGCAGCAATATCTAAAGCTAAATTCTGTTTTCTGGTTCAAGATCACCTCTCCCTTTCAAACACTGAGAATGGAATCCCACATTCATTGCAATAGCCTTTCTCTATCTGAAACATCCCTCCAGTTTTGGTGGGACAGGGAAGCTTCTTCTTTCTGTTGCAAGCTTTTGTGCTTACTAGTATTGCAGCGAATGCAGGATCCTGTTCCCACTCCAATGACAAGTTTCATGATAACTTTTAAAACAGGGCTTACACAAATATCACCACTTACTCTAGCAATAAAGCTCCTGGCAAGTTTTAATGGGCACAGTGTTAAAGGCTAACAGTCCCCACTGACTGCAGGCAGCAGAGCCCTGGGGTTTTGGGTTTTCTTTGAAATGAGCCACCAATTTGTGTCAAACAGTTTGCTTTGTAAGTGGAAGCTACAGGGTTTTTATTTGTGTTTTGACTTTATTAGGTCATTTCACCTTTAATTAAAATCTCTCAAGGATTTGCCAGGAACCATACACCAAGAGACTCTTTAAAATACACTGTTGCCCTTGGCTTTAAACCGGGTAAGATGAGTTTGTAATGGCTTTTATTACATCCCTCTTTCCTAAAAAAAAAACACATAAAGTGAATGCTGAAAAATAACGACTGCATCCAAGGGGAAGTCATTACAAATACAGCTTAAACATTCCCAGAGGAGAACTAACCTATGACTTCTTACGGAGGAGCTGTCACGTCAGCTGAAGGGGATCGCTGTTTTTAAGATGCTCTAAAAGAGGAACGTTGAACAGAACACAGTAGTTGTTGCTGCTGGGGTGCTCACATCCTTAGGAAAAGATGGTGGAAACCAGGGCATCCTGTGCCTCAACAGACTGATGGATCACTCCTAGGTCTTTGTTTAGAAGATCAAGTTCCCTGTGACTGGCATCGCTGCTGCAGAGATGTTTCCAAACTTGCAGCTGATGTAAATGGTTCTCATTTTACAGCCTCCTGTATTTCTCACTTCTGAATTTCATTGACCCTGCTCTGATTTATGTGCATGGCAGATTTGGTGCATCACTGATTTGTATAAGAAACAGTGAGGGAAGTGTGGGAGAGAGACGGCAACAGGGCTCACAGTGACAGCAAATGGCATAGAGAAGGAAAAAGACTTTGAGATTTACAAATACATACAGTCATCTCTGTTCACAGAGCTATTGTCAGCCAGAAAGGCAGCCAAGGAGAGAAGTGCTTACTTCTCAGGCAGCCATCCAGTGAGGGGCAGCTCCTGCCTGACACCCGAAACTGAGGTGGTTTGGCTTTAGTTCTGGACATTCGTTCATAGCTAGCTGAGGTGCTGAGAGGTTTCCTCACATGCAAAGAAGGCATCAACCAGTTACATGTGACTGTTTTAATATGTTTGTCTAACTCTGTCTGAAAACAGCCTGTAAAGGAAATTCTGCCTCGCTGAGTGATTTAAAACCATCCCTTGCTTAGAAAACAGCTAAAAAAAGCCCTTCCCCAAACTCTCTTATAATTAACAGCGTTAAAGAAAGAAACTGAAGCAAGACCAGCATTCAGATATAACCCTATGCTGTGAACCTTTCATCCCTGAATCAAAACCAGACTCTCTGGAAACACCTCAGAGCATCGCCTTGTAGCGTCTGTGAGCATCCACGTGTGCCGAAGCTGCACCCTGGCTTGCACAGTCATGTAGGGGCACAAGAATCACAGAATCATGCAATATGGAATCATTTAGGTTGGAAAAGACCTTTAAGATCATTGAGTCCAACCATTAACCTAACACGGCCAAGTCAAGCACTAAACCATGTCCCTAAGTGCCGCATCTATACATCTTTTAAATAACTCCAGGTGACTCAACCACTTCCCTGGGCAGCCTGTTCCAATGTTTGACAACCCCTTCAAGGAAGAAGTTGTTCCTAATATCCAATCTAAAGCTACCCTGGGCAACTTGAGGCCATTTCCTGCATCTTATTGCTTGTTACCTGGGAGAAGAGACCAACCCCACCTCACTGCAACCTCCTTTCAGGTAGTTGTAGACAGCAATAAAGCTCCCCGAGCCTTCTCCAGAGTGAACAACCTGAGAAATAATATCCCCCAACTTCCAGATACACATGGCCTGGGAAACAGCTTCAGCCTGTGATCCCATCCCTCATTTACAGGTGTCCTGGGTTCAGCAGTAGCAGTCATTTTTCTCCTTCTTAGTAGCTGGTGCAGTGCTGTGTTTTTGACTTTCAGCCTGGGAACAGCGCTGATAACACCGATGTTTTTAGTGGCTGCTCAGTAATGTTTACTCTGACCAAGGACTTTGTGGGTCTCATGCTCTGCCAGGGAGGAGGGGAAGCCTGGAGGAAGCAGAGACAGGACACCTGACCCAAACTGACCAAAGAGGTATTCCATACCACAGCACGTCATGCCCAGTATATAAACTGGGGGCAGTTACCCAGAAGGGCTAGATCACTGCTCGGTCGGGCTGGGTATCGGTTGGCGGGTGGTGAGCGGTTGTATTCTCTTCCCTTGTTATTTCCCTCATTGGTGGTAGCAGCAGTGATTTGTGTTATACCTTAGTTACTGGAGCGTTCTTATCTCAACCCATGGGAGTTACATTCTTTCAATTCTCCTCTCCATCCCTCCAGGAGCAGGGGGGAGGAAGGGGGAGGAGTGAGAGAGAGACTGTGTGGCTGACTGAGTTTAAACCACGACAACAGGCCATGATGCTATGCTGGGAATGATAGGGGAAGTCCTGGGCTGTATTGGGCCAAGTAGGGAGGAGGACATAGGCTGGGCAGACTGCACACAGCCACATACACGGAGCCCATAGGGACAGCAGGGACTACACCTAAGGAGACTGATTTTGCTCTTTTGCACATACCGAAATGGTTAAAGCATTTCTGTAACTTTCCTTTGCCCTCACCTTTTCACCCCAAGGTAGAGGAAGAAAGGGGAGAAGGTACTAGGAAAGAGGATTTGCCTGGATTAGCTGGGAGCAGGAAGGGTGTGGGAACAGGTTTAGTGCCCTGCTGACAGGGCTTACCCTTATACAGGTCATGTTGCTGTGTGCAAGGAGGTAGGGCGCATGCAAGGACCTATACACTGCTCAAAATTCTGCTGGTCTGAACCAACCCAACCTCCCACTGTGATAAAACCCTTTTCTATAGCAGGAGCTGAAATACGTGAGAGGGATATTGCTCCTCTTCCTCCCCACGGCTTGTATTAGAATCACAGAATAGTTTGTGTTGGAAGGGACCTTCAAAGCTCATTTAGTCCAACTCCCTTGCAATGAGCGGGGACAATCTCCAAGTAGATGAGGTTGCACAGAGCCCTGTCCAGCCTGGCCTTGAATGTTTCCAGGGATAGGGCATCTACCAACCTGTTCCAGTGTTTCACCACCCTCACAGTGAAGAATTGCTTCCTTATATCTAGTGTGAATCTAACCTCTTAGAGTTTAAAACCATTACTCCTTGACCTATCACTACAGGCCCTAGGGTATTACTGGTGCTCTCTTCAACTCATCCTTTGCGAAGGGCTGGAGCTGTATAGCATTGATGGGGCAAAATGTGATTTTTAGCTCAAGTCTCTCAACACAGGCAGGATAAAACCAGCTTCACATAAACAATGGGAGTGAGCTCCACATTTAGTGGCCAGGCTCCATAGCATCGTCACAGCAGACAAAGGGAATGAAGAAGTTTCTGCAGCCCCACCAGTGCTCCTGGGGAGGAATAAAACCCCTTTGCTGCCCAGCTGCCTGTCAGCAATATTCCCTCATATACAGGTGAAATTCCTGCAGGCAATACTTGCCCCAAGCCCAGAAGACATGGCTTTGTGAGAGTGCACATGGCATGCAACGTCCTCCTGTCCCCAGGCTATCTAGCCCTGATGTGTAAAGTTGGCTTGACAGGTATTGCACCTTGCTTCAAATTGGCCAGACATCTTTAAATGACTGTAGAAATACCAAGCTAATTAAGAAATGAAGACGGAGCTGTCTTCCTTATGAGCAAGCAAAAGAAATGAAAGACACCAACAGTCCCAGACAGTCAAGAATTAAAACAAAATTAAGAAAAACACAATAAATCCCTGGCAATGCCAGACTTGACGTGACAAAATTAGGGTGGCGTTTGAGGCTGCACGGTGACAAACAAAGCACACAGTGCTTTCATTTGGACTCTAAGTTCCCACAGATACTGAGCATCCACCCCTTACTGGTTTCCACAGTTTTAGCCACCCATCACCCCCATGAAGCCAGAGCAAAATCCCTCAGGACTGCTGTTCCTCAAAGTGAGAAACCCCCAATTTACCCCTGTTTTCAGCAACATCCAGCTTTGGCTGCCAATATCTTTTGTCACACTCATACAGAGACATCACACACCCCCAAAGACAGGGCTTCAGTATCACTTTTGAAGCGCATTGAATAGAACTTATCATCACCTCTGCTGTCACCTCCTGACCCACTGAGGCTGGTTTGCTGCGGGATGATTAACCTGGGACCAAACCAAGAGGAGAAGGTGGCACATAAGGAACCAGTTCAAGCTCCAGGACAACTCTTTACCACAAGCCTTTTTTACTGTAATCCCTCCAAATACCACTGTGCACAAGACACACAGCTGCCAGCTCTGCTTTATACTTGGAGAAGGGGTAACCGAGCCTGCGGCCATCCATCTTTACCACCCTTACAGAGCTTGAGGCAGAGATGCAACATCCATCCCCTGCTCCTGACTCCACTCCTTGCCTTTCCCACCGCATTCAGCATTTCAAAGGTAAATCATTCAACCTGGGACAATAACAGAAATGTTACTTTGCCCTTTGCAGCCCCCTTCACAC